TTATTGTTATTGTTGTGATTATTTTGATGTTTATTGTTTACATTTTGTGTGTTTTTGTTGTTGATGCTCTTTGTAATTTAAGGTTTTTGTAAATGTAGTTCTTTGGGTGAAGGAGGCAGATAACGTCTTTCTGCTTCCTTTCATTCAGGAGTTTGTGTCACGTTTAGTTGTTTTGTTTTAACTCAATGAATGAAATTAAAAAAAAAATAAAATATGATAATGATAAATGCAGTCGGGGGCCAGACTGTGAAAATAACAAGACTGGTTCCTTGAAACCCTGGAAGCCTGAATCTGTGTTTTTGAGTCTGTCACCAGGACACTGCCAGCATATAAAAACATGGGCATGTTAAATACAAAGTTTAATGCAGGGCGTCACATGACATTGTCTCTGAGAAAAGCTGGGCCCTGACGCCTCATGATGTGACGGGTTTCACTGCTGCTCGCTGACACATTAACCACTGCTGGGTGAGTTTCTGGTCAAGGCTGCTTTTTATTGGTGCTTCAGTAATTACACAACACAGAGGAGATACACATTTCTGGAACAATATCGTCATGACATTTCAGTGCAGACTGATAGAAGCTGGGCGTGCTTACCTTGACGGTGACGACAGAAGTTCTATATGAGGCGATGCTGAACACGGAGCCTTTATAATCCTCAGCGAGAAACTGTGGAGACTCATTTACATCCTCCACCTGCACTTTGACCTGAGAGACACACAGTAGGGAGAGAAGATCTTCAGCCACCTCGATACTGAGCACACATAATGCTTGCATGTGCGTCACCTTATATAAATACAGCAGCGTGCTGACATTAAACACAAAGCACAGCGTTTGTGTGACCTGCAGAAGAAGCAACCGAATAAGTCAGTCTGAACACCAGCGGACACACCCGCTGTCCTCCACTGTCATTAGAACTGTGAGAAAATGTTCAAGAAAAATGTTTTGTATCCCTCCAGTAGAGTTCAGAGACTCGAAGAATCAATGACAGAAGCTGCTCTGACAGCAAGCGGTGGCCCAACACTTCACTTGGACACTTTATGTTGGTTTTTCGTTTAATTTGTCACCCGTCTGTATCTTCCAACACTAGTGTGTGCAGAAATTCAGCTGTTTTAATCACAGAAGGAATTCAATTCCCAAAGAAGCCTGAACTTTTCTAAAATTAGCACCAGATAAGTAACGTTCGACAAAGCCACGCCATCTTGGATCCATGAGAGGTCACTCCAGTCCTGAACTATTTCATCCAATATTTAACAAATCTGGTTAATATTTACATGTAAGATTTGAATATAAGCTTGTAAGATTTGTGTGGCCGGCACAGTTCTTAACTACATTTTACATTTGGATGATAAACGTACATCTCAACTCTGAGCGATCCTGCAAAGCCAGATGGCGTTTCCTCTCCAGGTGTCACTACTGTGCAGTGTTTACAGATCATACCGTTGCCATAGCTGTCGTAGGCGGGATCCGTGTGTCCACGGCCTCCACGTCCAGGATGTACCACTCCTGCTGTTCTTTGTCCAGCTCTTCAGTGGTCAGGATGGCTCCACTGGTGTCGATGGAGAACAGCTCAGTGTGTGTTTTCAGTGTGTAGGCCACCTCGTACAGGTCGCTTCCTGAGGAGGCCCAGACCTTTCCCACCGTCACCCCCACTGGCTGGTTCTCAGGTAGGCTGAAGTTGTAGGAGGAGCTTTGGAAGGCCACGCCCTCCACCAGACTGACAAGCCTCAGATTCACCACGACACGAACTGCCGGACGACACGACAACACATGTCCAGTACAGACAGGTGTGATTGTTATAGTCAGTAATGAGAAGGTAACTTTTAAAATGGAACAGGTTGCAGATTACTAGTTACTCTGTCATCAAAGAAATACACCTTATTATATTTAAACACCATTCTGGTTCTTCTAATGGCACGACCACCATTATCCCTGTACTACACTTCTTGTTATAGCTTTTTTTTTTATTTTTATGATGCCTTGCTTGTTCCTCTTTTACCTGCTGTGTCTGCTCCCACTGCAAAGTTTATTCAGAACGGTGTGAACAGTCTGTACAGTTGTTCTGGACAGTATCAGCATGCTGATGTGTGTTAGCACCAAGTGTTGGAACGATGGTGGCTCTGGGGTGCAAAACACGAAATCTCTGAACTAAATAAATAAATTTTTTTCAACTAAACTGACACCTGACTGCTGCACTTGTTTTCCTGCGCTAACAGTGAGTCCAGCCTGAGTTGGTGTCAGACTGACCTGTGGCGCTCAGAGGAGGCTGGCCGTGGTCCTCGGCCATGGCTGTCAGCACCAGCGTGGTGTCTTCTGTTAAATCAGCAAGGTCAGAGGTCAAAGTCACCGCCCCGGTCTTGCTGTCCAAGGCCAAATACGGAGAGCTTCCTTCAGAGAAACTACAACCGCAAAAGGGAAAAAATACCATCAACATTTCAACATGTTTATGGTACAAACAAACAAACAAACAAA